TCGTACACAAACCTGGGAGGTAGGTTTTGGTTAATTCTTATTTCAATTTGTTTGCTTTTTTTTTTTTTTTTTTTCAAAGTCCTGGGGATGGAACCCATGCATGTCAGGCAAGCGCTTGACTATCGAGCCCCAACCTCAGCTCCCCACCTCCACTTTTAAAGACAAGGACTTGCTAGGTTGCCCAGTCTGGGCACAGACTTGAGATTCTCCTGCCTCAGCCTCCCAAGAAGCTGGATGACAGGCATGTGCGCTATCACACTCGGCTTAATCCTGTTTGACCCAGGAAGAAATGGAGGCTTGGGCAGCAAGTGAGGGAGGTCAGGACCCAGGAAGGGGTGCTGCAGCAGGGACCCCCAGATCCAGGGGCTGAGCTAGAGGCCACAGACGTTGTGGCCAAAGCAGCTGAGGTAATCATAGCTCCCGCTGGCAATGCCTGCACCCCGGCAAAGGACACAGTCCTGGGCTCTGGGTCAGATCTTCTCCACGTAGTTTCCCGGGAAGAGGCCCTCCTGGCCATGAAGCCGGCCCTTCCACCAGCCTGAGGGGTCTGTAGGAGAGAAGAGAGCTCGAGGCAGCCTGGAGAGAGCCTGAATGCCAGCTCCAGGACTGTGTCATTCACGGCGCACGCCTGTGATCCCAGCACTCTGGGAGGCTGAGGCAGGAGGATGGCAAGCTGGGGCGCAGCCTGGGCAACTCAGTGCAACTCTGTCTCAAAATAATAATAATAATAAAATGATGATGATCATAATAATAAAATACAAAAGGGGCTGGGGATGTAGCTCAGTGGGACGGCCCTGGGTTCAATCCCCAGCGCCAGGTGGAGTTGGGAGGAGGAAGGCCAGAGACAGACCCAGGGCGAGCTAGGCTGCGCTGCCCGGCTTGGTGGCCTGTGCTGGCCCTGGGAGCTGAGGCTGTGTGGACACGGGGTGCTGGCCTCTCCCCACCGCGACCCCTGCCCCGGGACGTACCTTCCAGGAGGATCTCGATGACCTCGTTCACGTTGAAGCTCAGCTCGTCTACGTCCTGACCGATGTACTGGTACAGTGCCCGGCACCTCGGGCTGTGCACCCGCGGCTGTGGCTTGGGTCGACCCACGCCAGGCACAGGCCTCTGCCCTATGCTGCGCTTCCTCTGCATGCTGGGGGGACAGGGGGCGTCCATCACGGCTCCACACCCCACATGCCGTGTCCACCTCCTGGGGCTGCCCTCCCAGCCCTGCCTACCCCGCCATGCCCTGGTCAGGCACGTTGAGGAATTCTGTGTTGTGCTCCGAAGGCGGCCGTGCCCGGGGCCGTCTGCTGGCCCCAAGGGTGGAGGCTGGAGGACCTCGCGGGGGCTGCTGGGAGCTCCTTCCAGGGGTGATATCCAGGGCCAGGGGGCCTCCTCTGGCCAAGGGGGGTACCCCATTTCGGTCCAGGGCTGTGGCAGGAGGATGGAGATATTCGTCAGGAAGATGCTACAAGTATTTGAGCAGGGCCTGGCTCCAACTTCCCAGTCTGAGGAGGAGGCTGTCTCCCCAGTGTGTTAAGAACTGGGTCTGTGGCAGGCACCCTGGGGATCTGAGGATATAGAGGAAAGCTTTGCAGAGAGAGTCCTCTCCTCATAAGAGGGCTTTTGTGAGTGGGTTTTGGAGGATGAATAAGAGCTCAGGATGTGGGAATTTGGTAGATAAGCAGAGAAAACAGCCCAATAAAAGTGAGTTGGCAAAATGAAATGCAGTTTGAATGGAATGGGAGGAGAGAAATCAGTGGCCAGCTGGGGTTGGATTTTTGAATGCCAGGCTAAGCTCGGCATGTATTCTGCAAAAGATGGGGCGCTTTGCAGCATTCTGAACCACTTCGTGACTACGGGTCTGACTTAGGCCGCAGAGTCCACAAAAGGTCTCACCTCTGGGGGGGCCGGGGGCCGCCCGCGTTGGGGCCTGGGCTGGCCTTCGGTGTCTCCCCTGGGCCATTCCCTTCCGCGTGGGCTCTGAAAGGGGAAAGTAAAGCTGCAGGTATTTGGGGGACGGCCAAGCCAGACCGAGCTCTTGGCCCCTCAAGTCCCCTCCATGCTGTGGCTCGGCCTCCAGGCCCAGCCCACAAACCCATTTGCTCTCTCACTGGCACCGCCCCTTAGCTACAAATAGTAATTGGCCCCACTCTCAGCAGCCCTGCTCTTTGGGCCCGCCCACCCCAGGTGTCCCCGCGGCACCAGGGTTTCTCTGGCCACGCCCCTCCACAGTTCTCTCTCATTCATTGGCCACTACTCCAAGGCCTCCCTTCGCCTTCCTCCCTTCTCTCCCTCCATTCGCCCCTCCACAGCCCTCACGTTTCACTAGCCACGCCCCGAAGCCCGGGGCTCCCCTCGTTGGCTCCGCCCCTCCCAGGCCGCTGCTTTTTTTGGCTCCGCCCCGCCTTCTGCGCAGACTCACTGGAGCTCTTGGGCAGCCCGTCTCCCACGCTAACGATGAGGCCCCGGCCACCTGCTTTGAGCACAGCCAAGTCGCTGGAGCCGCGGGCGAAGGTGACGCTGCGGGTGCCGCCTCCGCCCCAGCCCTCCTTCTTCACGCGGAACTGTAGTCTGTGGGGAGAGGAGGAAGTTTGGGGGCTCCAGCTGGAGCCAGGGAGGGGTGCAGGGGCGAAGTGCTGGGGGGGACGCACGTGTCGCTGAAGGTGAGGGGCAGGGGCTTCTGCGCGGCTTCCTCGAAGCGCTTGCACAGGAGGCTGACGAACTCGGTCTTGAAGATGCTCTCCAGGAAGCTGTCGGCGGCAGCCTCTTGAAGGATGAAGAAGTCGTCCTGTCTCGTGCTGAGGAGGGGCGGGAGGTCAGTGAGGTGAGGGACCGAAGGTGTTCACACCCAGCATCACGAGTGGAAAAGCGGGGCAGGTGACAGGCAGGGGGCACAAAACCTGCGGGCCCAGCAGCCGGCCACAGGTGTGGTAACAAGAGCGAGGGCAGCCAAGGTCACGGGGAAGGACGTTCCCAGCCTCACCTGAGGGACACCCCTCGCAAGGTCTGCAGCTCCAACTTCTTCTTCAGGATCTCACGTACCTGGCCCTTCTCGGGGCCCTTCTTCACCTTTTCCCGCCCGATCACGTACACACACTTGGGCGTCAGGATCAAGTCCCGCTTGATGGGCTGTGGGTGGGCAGGGCCAGAGGTTGGTGGCTGGAGCCCAGGGCAGCCTGGCCTCGGAGGGTCGGCCCCAGGCACGGGGCGGTGCTGGCAGGTCAGTGGAGGCGCTAGGCCGGGTGAGGGGGGCTGCTCCCTCTGGGTGAAGGCATGAGTTGTTAGTTCACTGACTTATTTCTCGGTTCTGGGATGGACTCAGGGCCTTGCACGTGCTAGGCAACTGCTGTACCACTGAGTGACATCTCTAGCCCTTTTCATTTTTTTACTTAGTTACCCACACTGGGCTTGAACTTGTGGTCCTCCTACCTTAGCCTTCTAAGTCGCTGAGATGTACCACCATGCCCGGTTCAGTATATAAGAAACAGATGCAGCTAGGAGTGGTGGCACATGTCCGTAACCCCAGGACCTGGGAGGCTGAGGCAGGAGGAGTGCCGTAGGTTTGAGATCAGAGCCTGGGCTACGTGTTGAATGCAAGGCCAGCCTGAACTACACAGCAAGACCCTGTCTCAACAAGCAAAAAAATGAATAAAACATGGGCTGGGGATTTAGCTCAGTGGTTCCACCGCCTGCCTTGCAAACGCAAGGACCTGAGTTCCATCCCGGGTACCAAAAATAAAATAAAATAAAAAACACGAAAAAACAAAGATGTGAAAGTGAAGATATCTTGGTTAGAAAGAGATACCTGGCCAGTGAACAGGTACAGGGTAGGTAATGCACCTGCTGGATATGGGTGCCTAGGCTACGGCCCCTCAGGGAGGAAGACGGAGGATTGGGGGCGGGGCTTGGGAGCTCCTTCCGGGAGTGCGGCCCAGGGGCGGGGCTGGATGAGCCCTCTCAGACCACGTGACAGCACCTGTGCCCTGTGGCCAGTTTTTTTTTTTCCCCCTCTGTGCGGTGCTATGGACTGAACCCGGGTTCCTGCACAGGTTGAGCATATGCTCTACCTGTGAGCTGTACAATCCCCAGCTCAGCCATGGAAAGGAATGGCTCCCACGTGGGCCTACAGGTCAGGTAGTTAGTTACCTGGGTGAGTGGACGGGGTCATGCACCTGCAGGGCAGTGCGTGTCAGTGTGAACTAGGCGATTTGACATACACCTGTTCAATCAGGTGAAAGGTATGTGTCAGGCGGCAGTGTCTAGAGCCTGAGGTTGGCCAGGTCAGGTGAGGGGTGCCTGTCTCTCACGAACATACACACACACACACACACACACGAGGCAGGTGGTAGCATCCTGGTAGTGTGAGTGACCATTTGTCTCAGGGAGTCCCCCTGAAGGGCTCTCTCAGGTGGGGACGGGTGGGTTTCTGGGCTGGGTCAAGCGAGGACAGGACGTCTGGTCCGGGTGTCCCTTGGGCAGGCGTGTCCATGCTCGGTGACGTGGCGGGTACACCTGTGCTCGGCCTGTGTGCCCGGCTGGCGACAAGGGCTCGGATGTGCCCACCCGCTGACCCCTCACCTTGAAGCGGCGGTCATACTTGGTGACCGAGTCGGCGAAGTCCACCCGCTCCCTCTTGCCCAGGAACTGGCGCAGCTCGGGCCGCTCCTCCAGCCCCAAGTAGTCGCCCACGAAGTTGCGGTTGATGCTGTTCCGCCTCCGCTCCTTCTTGTTGAGCAGGATGTTGGATGCTGTCCGTGCGAGGCCGGGGCAGAGGTCAGGGTCTGGCCCCTGTGGCGCCTCCTGTCCCCTCCGGTCCCCACCGGTCCCCACCCGCAGCCTCTCACCTTCCTCTCGCATCTCCTCGTACTTGCGCACTGCCACGTGGCGCCTCCACGCCTTCTGGATGGTGCGGGCAAAGCCGTCGAACTTCCGCTCCCGCATCTCCTCCAGGAGGAAGAGCTGGGCCGGAAGGTGTGGCAGCGGGTCGGGAGGCCTCCCCAGACTGCATTCAAGGTTTCCCCCATGCCCACGCCGCCCACACACTTCTGCTCACACCCACCCACGCGCCTGGCTTACACCGTGGTCAGATTTGTTTTGGTCTTCCAAGCCAAGTGTGCCAGCAGATGCCTGTAATCCCAATACTCTGGGAGGCTGAGGCAGGAAGACTGCAAGGTTGAGCCTAACCTGAGCAACTTAGTGAGACTCCGTATCAAAATAAAAAGGACAGGGAGGGCTGGGGAATTCACTCAGTGGCACTGCGCGCCTGCTTCACAAGCTCAGGGTGCTTAGTTCAATCCCCGGTACCGCAAAAAAAAAAAAAAAAAAAAAAAAAAAAAAAAGGACTCGGGTTTTAGTTCAGTGTGAGACCGTGGGTTCAGTCCCTAGTAAAACCAAATCAAACAAAAACCAAACACAGTGTGAGAGTGTGAGAGCGTGTGTGTGTGTGTGTGTAGGGATGATGTAGTGCTGGTAACAAGACATCAACTGGAGCCAGCAGAGAGGCCTGGGAGACATGCACATAGAAAATAAGTGATAAAGGGGACTGTGCTGTCAATCGGTGAAACTGGGAAACACTGTTGAAAATGAAACTGGACCCAGGCATGGTGGTGTACACCTGTCGTCCCAGCACATGGGAGGCTGAGGCAGGAGAATCACTGCAAGTCTGAGGCCAGCCTGGGCTACATAGTGAGTTCAAAGTCAGCTTGAACTACACAGTGGGACTCTATCAAAAAAAAAAAAAAAAAAAAAAAAAAACCACAAAAAAACAAAAACCCACCCTCCCTAAAACAACAACAACAGAAAGAAAAAACTAGAGGCCTGGGATTTAGCTCAGGAGTTCTGCCACCTGCCTTGCAAGCTCAAGGACCTGAGTTTGATCCCCGGTACCAAAGAAAGAAAGAAAAAGAAAAAACTGGAGCCGGGTATGGTACATGTCTGTAAACCCAGAATTTTGGAAGCTGACACAGGAGGATCACAAATTCAAGGGCAATTTAGCAAGGCCTTATCTCCAAAATGCTTACAAAAATCAAAATAAAATTCTCCTTTTTAAAGGCAAATATGTAGTGTGATAAAATATGAATGTTTAATTTTGATTTAATTTTAATTTTTTTAAGCCAAGGTGTCACTCTGTAGTCAGGCTGGCCTCGAACTCATGTTGATCCTCCTGCCTCCGACTTTTAGGATCACGGGTGTGTGCCACCACCCGATAGTGGTGGGAGGATCTCCATGAGTTCGAGGCCAGCCTGAGTCCCATAGTGAGACCCTATCTCAAAAAGCAAAACAAAACATCCAAAACCAAAACCCCCACAAACATAGGGAAGGAAACTCTAGTCAGGGGCTGGCAGTGCGGCTTCACTGGTAGAGAGTGTGGCGGGCCCTGACTTCCATCCCCAGCATGTGCGCGTGCACACACACACACACACACACAGAAAAAGAAAAAATCAGTCATTCCAGCATGAGCCCGTTTGTGGGTGAGAAAGGCACCATTAAAATCAGTTGATTTCAAAGAGGACCCTAAGTAGTAGCTGAAAAGAGAAAGAAAACTTTATAAGGGATGACAACTTAGCTCTTACCCAAGATGCCTCTGCTTATGTCTGCCTAAGGGAAGCGGCTCATAGGCAGCTGGGTGGCACCACTTCTGAGTCCAAAAAGAACACAGTAGATAAATAAGGACACCATGGATCAAAGGAGAAAAGCCCGAGAACACAGATGATGAAGATGTGTGTTTTTCTCTGCTTTCTAGGTCTTTTGGTCCAGAAGCAAATTTGAACAGACTGGGTTAAAACTATAGTGCTCCCGTTTCATGCTGAGGATTGCGTTATTTCGGGTTCCTCTGTCTTCCGCAACAGAGTCATGGGCTGGCAGGGTAGCTCAGTGCTAGGGCAGGTGTCTAGCATGTGCCAGGACCTGGGGGGTTCACTCCCCAGAACAGAGGGAGACAAAGAAAAAAAAAAACAACTCATAAGGGACATCCTTACTTAGTAGCTGCCCTGAATTCACTACTGAAATCTGCTGGCTGACCAGTAGTAAAAAGCCATAGCTAGAGTTTCTTCAACTGCAGTTCCAACTTTTTTTTAGTGGGGGCGGTACTGGGCATGGAACTCAGGACCTTGTGCTTGCAGGTGGTGGAAACACTGAGCTAAATCTCCAGCCCTAAGACAGCTACAACACGCCTGCTAGTTTTGTTTTTTGGTACTGGGGCTCCAGCCTTCTTTTTCCTATGTTGTACGTAGAAAATTGTTTATTTATTTTGCTAAGGATGAGATGGGCTGATGACAGGGAGGACTACATTCTGTGTTTGTTTTCTTGTCTGTCTTTTCCCCATTCCAGCTGGATATTTGACTTTTTTTTGGTACTGGGAATTCTAGAGAGATATTTGAGAAATGGGTCACAAATTCCAGAGAGATGGAGTCAGGAAAAGGAAGTAATATATGTCAGGCCTTGTTTTGCTGTTGAACAGTTTATCTTGCCCCAGGGAAAGGAATCTGTGTAGTTTGAACTTCGAGGAGGAAGAGTCAAGGACAGGCTGTTTAGAAGGCCAAGTATGGAGGGAAGTGGGCTTTTCCCTGTCCAGGGTTCTGAGACTGTGAATTCAGAATCATCACCAGTGAGGCCCAGTAATTTCTTCCCTTGAAAAGTTCTAAATGGCAAGGTAAAATAAAGTCGTACGTGAAATGGTAAGGAGCGACAGCAAAAAAAAATTTTTTTTTTTAGGTATCGGGGGTCGAACTTGGGATCTTACATTTGCGAGGCAGGCGATGCAACCACTGAGCTAAGTCCCCGGCCTGACACTAAAATCTGAAAAGAACAGTTTGCTGCAAGTCTATGGAATACATCTTTACATAATGCATTGTCTGGCAAACTAAAAACTGGTGAAAACGATTCATGAACAGTGCCTCACAAATCAAGCACCAGATGAAAAGCAAGTTTGTTTTCAAGTTAGTAAAGAATCATATTAAGGGCTGGGGATTTAGCTCAGTGGTTCTGGTGCCTGCCTCGCAAGCACAAGGACCTGAGTTTGACCCCGAATACCAAAAAAAAGAAAAAAAGAAAAACAGAATGATATTAAGTTGTTTACTTCGGATCACTTTCGGCTCTTATCTTATGTGATGTCTTATATTCTGCAAAACGTTATGTTTGCATTTGAAGTTTTTAGGCATTTTTCACATTCAGTTTGACTAAGGAACTTGGATAATAATATCAGCAAATTTAATGTCCCTTTTAAACAGTTGCTTACTAGTTTACTTACATAAACCTACCCAGTAAATATCCGTGGTATTCAGGGCCAAAGATTTGCACAGCACATGGGACACAGTTCACATAAAACACAAAGTATCGGGCTGGGGATTTAGCTCAGTGGCACTGCACCTGCCTTGCAAGTACAAGGTTCTGAGTTTGATTCCTGGTACCAAAAACCAAAAAAAAAACAAAAAACAAAAAAACAAAAACAAAAACCCCAAAGCCCACAAAGTATCAGTGCACTTTGATATATGTTTCAGAAATATGTTCATTACCACAATTTCATTTGAAAAATTTTACTGCCACTTTTTTATAATATTAGAATAATGGGGCCTGGGATTTAGCCCAGTGGTGCTGCTACCTGTCCCACAAGCTCAAGGTCCTGAGTTCGATCCCTGGTATCAAAAACAAAACAAAACAAACAAAAACAAATAGAATGATGTTAACTAGTACTGTCATTTTGGTGTGAGAAATTAAATTTTGATGTCTGTATGCAACATGTTGGCAAAGTCTCTAAAGAAATACTAGTGCTGGTCATGATTTGCAATGTAGGAGATGCAATATTTTCTTTTGACCTTTTAGGAAAACAGTAACTAGGAATCAATCTAACAAAGGAAATAAAAGACCTCTCCATTGAAAACTACAGTATTCTAAAAAAGCAGGTCAAAAGGCTATCAGAAAGTGGAAAGATATGACTTGCTCACGGGTAGGAAGAACCAACATAGCGAAAATGGCCATACTTCCAAAAATTTTATACGGGTTTAATGCAATTCCAAGCAAAATTCCAACAGCATATCTCACAGAATTAGAAAAAACAAACAAAACAATCCTACAATTCATTTGGAACCAAAAGAGAACGGGAATAGCAAAGGCAGTTCTGGGCAACAAAGGCAAGGCAGGGGCATCACAATCCCTGATTTGAAACTATACTACAAAGCTACTATGATAAAAACAGCATGGTACTGGCAAACAAAACAACAAACAAACAAACAAAAAACTGACCTGAGGATCAGTGGAAGAGATTAGAAGATGCAGAAACAACTCCAGACACACTCAGCCACCTCATCTTTGACAAAGGAGCCAAACACCCTCACTGGAGGAAAGATGGCCTCTTTCATAAATGGTGCTGGAAAAAGTGGCTTTTCACATGCCAAAGATTGAATCTAGACCTTTACCTTTTAACCTTCACTAAGTGAAAACCAAAATGGATCAAAGATCTAAATAATTGAACAGAAACACTAAATCGGCTAGGCAATCAAACAGGTATAACTCTTGAAGACATTGGTAGGCAACTACCAATTGCGCAGGAACTATCACAAAGAATCAACAACTGGTACCTCATCTTACTAAAAAGCTTTTGCACAGTAAGAGAAGCCATCAACAGAGTGAAGAGACAACCCACAGCATAGGAAAAAGGTTTTATCAGCTATTCATCAACATTTTACAGACATATTCTGTGGAGAATACATAAAGAACTTAAAAAAAAAAAAAACAGAACCCCTCCCTCAAATTTAAAGACCCAATCCAAAAATGGGCATCTGAAAGAAACAGACACGTCTCAGACAAAGAAGTAGAAACAGTAAATAAATGTAAGAAAAAATGTTCAACATCACTGGTCCTTTGAGAGATGCCGATGGAAACAACTCTGAGATTCCACCACACCCCTGAAAGAATGGCTGCTATCAAGAATTCAACCACTAGCAAATGCTGGCAGGGTTGTGGGGAGAAAGGAACCCTTCTCCGCTGTGGGTGGGAGTGCAGACTGGTGCAACCACTGTGGAAATCAGTGCAGAGATTCCTCAAAAGAGTAAAACTTGAGTTTCCATTTGACCCAGCTATTCCCCTTCTTGGCATCTTCCTGAAAGAATTAAAAGCTGCCTACCACAATGATATATACACACCCACATGTATAGCAGCACGGTCTGTAATAGCTAAATCTTAGAAGCAGTCCCAATGCCCATCAGCAGATGAGTGGATACAGAAGACTTTTTTTTAATACGCTGGAGTACTACTCTGCCATAAAGAAGGATGAGTCTGAGACATTTATAGTTAAATGGATGCACCGTGAGACTATACTTTTTTCTTTTAACCTGGTATTGAACTCTGGTCCTTGTGCTTGCAAGGCAGGCAGTGGCACCACTGAGCTAAAGCCCCGGCCCAGACTGTACTCTTAAGTGAAATATATCGGACACAACATGCATTTTTCTCTTATGTGAGAAACCCAAAGCGGGAATAAGGACTGAGATGTGTAACAGACATTGAGAAATGGGAAGAAAAGGTTCCAGTGACAGGGGGACAAGAAGAAGGGGGGAAAAGGTAGGAAGGGACAAGACAAAAGTGAAAACAGATGGAAAAAATGGAAACAAAGTTTCCGTATGTAGGGAGGGGAGGTGGGCTTGAGGGGAGGCAGGGAGTGGGAAAGAAAGAAGCAGCAGGATTACATCATGTGCAGGTGCAATGTATATCTAAAATGTACCAATAAAAATTTTATTTAAAAAGATAATTTAATTTCTTAATGATTTATTTCTTTGCATTACCGAGGACTGAGCCTAGGGCCTTCACGTGGAACTACATTCCCAGTCCTTTTTAATGTTTATTCTGTTTAGGTCTCGCTTTGTAGTTCAGGCTGGTCTTGACTTCACTGTGTAGCCCAGGCTGGCCTCAAACTGTGGCGATCCTCCTGCCTCAGCCTCCCGGGTGGTTGGGATTGTACACTGCCTCAGTTTTTCTCAGTTTCTGTTCTCCGCTTCTTTCTGCATTTCCTCTGTCTCTCTCAGCCTCCCGCCTTCCTCCGCTCACTTTCCATTTCTTATCTCTTTCCCTCCTTCTGCCTCTCCGTCTCTCTCTGCCCTCTCCGCTCACCGACTCGGGGTTCTTGACGAAGACCTTGGTGCCCCCCATCTGGTACTGGTCCGGCTCCATGTTCACGGCCCGGAGCAGGTGCTGGACGCCCTGACGTTCATCCCCGCGCCACCGCGGCCAGGTCTCGGGGGTGAGGATGGCGTACCTGGGGTGAGGGGGGTCGGGCGTGGAGCGGGGCGT